TCATCCTATCTAGAGATTTGTGGTATGTTTTGAAGGTTCTGTACTTGCATCAACGCTTGAATTTTTGCGATGTGTGAATCTCTTTTTCCAATTTAAATCCACAATATGACTATTGCATTGGCTTTCTTTATCTCCTTTTATATGTATCATTATTCCAAGATCATTATTCTAAGGTTGTGCAGTTTGAGTAACTCTTATATCTTCTCAACTCCTTTTTATGTCTTATCCATTATGTATGGCTCCATTCCCACAACTAAGTTCTTTGATATGTTTAATGAATCATATTACTTGATGACATGGAGTTTTGCTTTTGTGTATATGGAAGAGACAGTGTTATTCTAAAGCTATATAAGCAGTTGAATTTGATTAAATTTAGCATTTAATTGCTATTATAGCTTTGAGATCATTTTTTCAATCATCGCTTGTATTTATCATTTAGTGTAATCTTGATCCCTCCTTGTCATGCACTATTTTTGGGTTTGGCTTCAAGTCTTTCCTCCATGTGTAAGCTTGTAACATAAAAGAAGAGTACGAGGAATATGGAGCAAGCATTTGTCGCATGATTCTTGTTTTCAAGGGGATGTATTAAGCAATGACCCATTTCCAACTGGTTGTAATGGGAGAAACCCCTAATAACATTCCATAGATGCCTTCTTATTTCCACCTTCATGATGCCAACTTTCTTGATGCCATCTTGCCTTTCATCTTGAACTACTTGGTTCTTAGCAAAGGTGATGTAAAATATAGATGCTCAATCTCAATTATACAAGGGTTAAAGTTTTGAAGTGGGTTTTTTTGTATCATTCTTAATTAGAGAGCTACAGGTCCTAAATACAATATAGTTAATTTTGTTCCTAGCAATTGAGGATCATATGGGAGTTTCAATAGACAAAAAAAGAAAAAGATAAGACAACCAAGCTAAATGGCAAAATTTTAGTGTTCAGCTTAGTTAAAATATTTTGTAGGTTTTTGTTACATATTTAGGTTTTTTCCCCTTGGGTGGTGTTGGGGGTGCAAGGATTCAAAGCTAGTTCATTTAGTTAGGAAGTTGAAATTGAAGTGTCAATTTGATTAGAAATTTGCTTCTTGTTTTCTTTCTTTTTTTCTTTTCTTTTTCGTCATTTGTAATTTATATGAATATTGTGTAATAATGATCATGGCTAACATTTTTTCAAGAGCAACACCTATTGTTAACCATTATTATTATTTATTTATTTTCAAAAAGTGTTTCTTTAAGTTGAATATTTGATGTGATATCCAATCCGAATGTGTGAAGAAAGTATGCAGAAATCAAGTTGACAAGGAACAAAGCATAAAATTTCTATTCGCCTTCATCAAAGCCAAACTATTTGAATTGACATTCAAAAATTGAAGAAGGAATTTTAACCACCAAAACCATATCTCATGTTGCCAAATTCTTACTCTATTGTGGTTGTGTGGTGCACTTTAGATTAATGCTTTTTGGAGATCTTTTGTAGTATCTTTGGTTTGAGGTGAACAAAGAGGAAGGGAAGATTTTTTAATTAATTAGATTGTAATATTTAAAAATATTATAATTTGATTAGTTAAAATCTTTCTCATTCACTCTATTCTCCTTAAACTAAATATATTATTATGGTATTATACACTTAAAACTAAATAGGGGTAGCAATTTTCCATGGGGATCCCTATCATAGAGATAGGGGGTATTTTGCCCCGTGAATTTATGTGGGTAATTTTTCTTGTCTTGTAAGGTTTCATGGGATCTCCATCCCCAAGAAAAATTAAAAAATTATATAAATTAATTTTATTTTAAATTTAATTGAACCCAATATATTAGAATACATTTCAAATTCAATCCAACAAAAGTTAAATTTAACCTAATTTTACACAACCAAACCCAACCCATATCTAAAATTATTTCAATTGGATTGATCTTTATTTATATTTGGAGAATTTATATTTGATTTTATGTTTAGAGAACTTTAGTTAATTGTGCTTGAACTTTTAAAACTTTATTTATTATATTTGAATATTAGTTAATTATATTTGGATAATGAAATTTATATTTTGATATAAATTGGCTGGGAATGAGGACAATGGCAAAATCTTCCTCTGTCAAAAATCCCCATGAGGATCCCTATTCTTACCATTTGTGGGGACAAAGATGAGGAGGCACTCCATGGCCTAGAGGGGCCTTGTCACCTCCCCTATAGCCAAGGTATCATAGATAGCTTTAAGAGTTTTGGCACACGTATTTAGTGTCTGTTTGGTTAAAAATTAGTAAAAGAAAGGAAAGGGAGGTGAGAGAAAGGGAGTGGAGGAGAAGTGAAAGAAAGAAAAAGATTAATGTTAGTTTTGTTTGGATAGATAAAGGATAATATTTTTATTTAATTAAATAATTTTAAAAAAGTAAAATAAAAAAGAATAAAATGTTTAAATTTATTAATTAAATAATAATTGAAATAAAATATTTATATATATTCATTTAAAAAAATTAAAAATAAAAATAAATCAAGTAACGTAATTTATCTCAATCTCTTTAAATTAGATGAATTGAAAATTGAGGAGGAGAAGGGGCTCCATCTCCCTATATTCCATTAAATTTATTAATCTAAACAATTGGAAGGTGTTTTCTCCACTCACTCTCCTCTTCTTCCCCTCTAACATCTCCAATTCAAATAGAGTGTCAAAGAGATTAATTTCTATGAATGCATACGGATGTGGGGGCACCTTTTGAAAATCATCTAAAAAGAATATATCATCTTGAAAAGATTTTTTTGATTAATTAAATCATAATATTTAAAAACATAATAATTTAATTAATTAAAAATTCTCTTATTCACTTTATTTTCCTTAAATCAAACATATTATTAGGGCATTACACACCTAAAACTAAGGTATTGTAAACAATTTTAAGAGTTTTGGTATAAGTATTTAAAAAGATTAATTTCTTTAAACGATATAAAGGTATCCTTTCAAAATCCTTTTAAAAGAATAAATCATCTTAAAAATAATAATTTTTGAGATATATAAAAACTATTTAAAACACTATAATCATTGTTTTAAAAAAAAAGGGAAAATTACACTTAACCTACCTATGATTTAGGATGAGTGCATTTTAAAGGTATGTGATATCAAAATATGATTTAAAGACCTGTGTTTTGAAGTAACAGTAATAAAACACTATTATTATTAAAAACCTAACAAAAAAACTTAACTTCTTATATTAATTCCTCTAATGCCCTTCCAGCATAACACTACCATCTTGCTCAACACTAAAAGTTAAATTGTACATACTTCATTTGACTCATTAGAACTACTTACAGTCTCATCATTTCTTGACAACACATTACCATCCATCTACCAAAATACATAAAAAATTATAATAATTAATTTATTCATTCATTTTAACTAGCCACATTCAGACCACTTGCATAATTCAATTAAAAAAATAATTTGCATATATATAAAATATTCATAATTAACATATATTGTTGAAACTAATTAAAATTAAATTTGTATAAAATCAAGAATATATGATTTAGAACTGTAGGAGACCAAAGTAGAACCTTTTAATTTTCAAATGAAATCCTCATTTTTTAAATCTTAAAAAAGCCATAAAATTTTCAACTGAACACAAAAAAGTTGATAAAAGAAAATTAGAAACAAAGTTTCACTTTGGAATATAAATTACAATAAATTAAAAGATTTTATTCAATTACCTGCAGAGAGTTATTGTTTTTGGTTTTCGTCTTCACTTAAATCGATCTTTGAAAATTCTTATAAAAGAGAGTTTGTGAGATGATTGAATTTTTGCTCTCCTCTTTTTATTTTTTAAGTCAAGAGTATTTAAACTATTGCATATAATTTTAGCATCATTTGGATGGCAAGAGTGGTTTGGTGCATAAGGTTCAAAGTAAAAGTCTTTAAGTGCATATTTCAATTTTACAAACCTTTTAACAGACTTATCTTAAATCACAAGTAAGTTATGTATAATTTTCCTTAAAAAAATTGTATTATCCCTTGTTAGGGATTGTATTCTAAATAAAAATTCAATTCGATTCGTAGAACATAAATCATTTTAAAGATATGCATACAATAAGGGACAAAAAATAACTTAAACCCACAAAAAATAATTTAACGCAGAAGCGCACACCAAATCAAAACCTTGTGTCTTTGTCCAAGTCTGACCAGCGGTAGCTTTAACCGAATATAAGGCAGAAGGAGAAAGGAATTGGACAAACATACGGTAATAATATTTTTTTGTCTTTTTATTATGCGTAATCATCTTGCTCGTCCTTTTATATCCTAACTTAGCTCCTCCGGATTCGTATTTTGCTGCAATGTTCCGGCGTTAGTTGATGGTGGGTGTGTTAATTTATGTTTGTTGAGTATTTTTTATTTTTATTTTTATTTTTTAACTTGGGTTTGTGTTTTTGCCCATTTCCATTTGTTCTGTTCCTCTGACTTTGCGAAAGTAGGTATCGGAGAAATTTTTTTTCTCTATTATTCTCCGACATGGGTTTCCTGTGGTTTCTGGTAATTTGTTGCTTTTACTGTGGTTTGTGAAGTGGGTATTGAGATTTATTCCATGTTGTTTTGAAATTTCCTAGGTTTGTTGCTTTTGTGATTTAAGCATGTGGGTAGTTTAGATTTGGTTGTTTTTGGTGGTATTAGGGCAAGGGTGTGGGGGTATTTCTTATGATTCAACATATCTATTGCACGCTAATGTTATTATTCATTTTCTATGTATGTTGGTACTTTTGATTTTATTGTTAGAGCTATCTCTTTCTGCAACTTGGAACATTTTTGCAGTTTTCATGTTTTCAAATTGTAATGGCATGCTCATTAAAGGATTCATCAACTTGGACTTTGTATTTTCCCTTCAAATTACTCTTATTAGATTATTTTGTTTTTCTTGATAAGCATATTACTCTTATAAGTTGGCTATCTGATGGAACCTATCTTTGATTTCAAACTCTTGATAGTATATAAGCATGTTTATGTTCTCAATTTATTGATCTAAAATGAGACAAACAAAAATATGATGAAACATTATTCCATGTTGGAGATAGGAATGAATTTATTTTGTTGATTTTTACCAGACTATTTAAATGGATCCAATGACAGACGAGCAAATAAACTTTGGGGAGGATGAGTATGGGGGGTCTCAGAAAATGCAATATCCAAGAGGTGGAACCATACCTGCGCTTGCAGATGAAGAACCAATGGGTGAGGATGATGAATATGATGAGCTATATAATGATGTTAATGTTGGAGAAGGTTTCCTACATATGCACCATCTTGAGGCTCTAAGCCAACCAGGTGGTATGGCCAATAGTGGTGTAGGAACTTAGAAGAATGATGTTCTTGAAACAAGAATTGATGCTGGCGTCTCAAGAGGCCAAAGTGTAACAGGGGCTCCAGTCCATGGTAAATACCCTGGTGCTGGTGCCTTTTTCCCAAAGTAGAGTGAGGGGCAACAAGCCATTAATAAACCAGAGATTGGATCTGTTAGTTACCCATCTGGATCTTCTATTTCTCAAAAGGTGGGTGTCATGGACATGGCACGTGATGCCCAAGTCAAAAACCTGGGTTTTCAAGGATTGGTGTCAGCACCTTCCAAGATTGGGGTTAATCCTTTTGACTTGCCACAAAAAATTGCCAATGACACTGCTCAGTCACTCAACTCTGGTGCTGCTAGCCCTCAAGGTACCCCAAAGATTCCAACAAACCAAGTGGGTATGAATTCCAATCATTCTATGGTGAATGAAAATCAGATTCGGCCACATGTAGAAAATGGTTCAACCATGCTATTTGTGGGAGAATTACATTGGTGGACTACTAATGCAGAACTTGAGAGTGCTTGTTCGCAATATGGAAGAGTGAACAAAATTAAATTCTATGACGAGAGAGCCAGTGGTAAATCCAAAGGCTATTGTCAAATTGAGTTCTATGATCCAGGTGCTGCAGCTTCATGCAAAAAGGGAATGAATAGTCATGTTTTCAATGGGCGAGCTTGTGTTCTGGCATTTGCTTCTTCACAAACTCTGAAGCAGATGGGAGCTTCTTACATGAATAGAACTGAGGGTCAATCTCAATCCCAGTCTCAGGGAAAGAGGATGAATAATGGTTTGGGGAAAGGAGGCAATATGAATAATCAAAGTGGAAATGCAGGAAGGAATTATGGAAGGGGTGCTTGGGGACAGGGTGGGCAAGAGGGGATTCTTAGCAGACCTGGATCTGATGGACCAAGAAGGGAAAGGGAAACGGTGGGGCAAAAAAAACGGGGGGAAGTGGAAAAGGGCCCGGGGGGAAGGGAGGCTACAGACAAGGGCCAACAAGTAATGGATTTGGGGTTCCTCCTGATGGCATGATGCACCCACAAGGCATGATGGGTGCTGGATTTGACCCAACATATATGGGTCGGGGAGGTTATGGAGCTTTTCCAAGTCCTGGTTTTCCAGGCATGCTTCCTCCATTTCCAGCAGTTAATGCAATAGGACTTGCTGGGGTAGCTCCTTATGTGAATCTTACTTTCTTTGGCTGGGGTGTAGCTCCTAATGGGATGGGAATGATGGGTTCTTCTGGAATGGATGGTCTTCATGCGGGAATGTGGAGTGATACTAGCATGGGTGGATGGGGAGGTGAGGAACACGATCATCAGACTAGGGAGTCTAGTTATGGTGGTGAAGATGGTGCTTCTGAATATGGGTATGAAGAGGGAAACCATGAGAAAGGAAGGTCGAGTGCTACTTCACGTGAGAAAGAGCAGCCTTCTGAGCATGAGTGGTCTAAGAACACTAACAGGAGGTATCGCAACGAGAGGGATCGAGACTAGGATAGGTCTGAGAGGGAGCATAGAGAGCATAGGTATAGGGAAGAGAAGGAAGGCTACCGAGAGCATCGTCAAAGAGACCGTGACTTGGATTATGAGGATGATTGGGATAGGGGACAATCTTCTTCAAGATCTCGAAGCAAGTCCGGTGTAGTACCAGAAGAAAAACACAGGTTTTGATCAAGGGATGCTGATTATGGAAAAAGGAGACGTGGACCATCATAGTGATAGAATGCTGCTGCTCATCCTATTTATCAGGTCCTATGAAATTTCACTTTTATTCTCCCATGGTTTCTCTCCCTTAGGTGCTATATTCATCTATTAGCATTCTCTATGATTTCCATTCATCTGGAAGAGGAGTGTGGCTTATTGAGGGACACAGTAAGTTTCACTTTTGTTGCTATGGGATTGACTGGACCTCTCCTTGCTATCATATTGAATTTACGGGACAAACTTTAGATGTTTGTGTTAGATACTTTGTTGTTTGTCAGCAATGTTCCTTACAAGACTTCTACTAATATTTCGTTTGTTTTTGTTTGTATTTGTTTGTGTTAGATATATATATATATAATCTGATTTTTGATGTCAGTAGATTAGCAGCATTCATAGCTTGTATACATTTTGGACTTATATTGTGGTGGGCGTCAGAAGGGAATTAGGTGGGCAGGTGGAAGGTGTGAGGTGGCGTGGCATCATTTCATGCTTGAATGAATACTTTAGACATTCCTAGAATATTCTTTTTGTTTTTCCCATCATTCTTAGAATATAATGTAGATAAAAAAAGATAGTCTATTGTTCTTTCTGTCCCCCCCCCCCCTTCTATCTTGGTGTTTGCTTTTGCATTATAATGCTTGGCAGTAATTGTCTTTAGCTGTTTTTTTTCCTTTTGTCCCTTATTGTACTGTACTTTTGTATTTACTAATATTCTTGTAGCTAAAATTTGCGTCATAAATCTAAGA